TAAACTCTGCGTGGCTGTCCCTATACTGATGACAGTCAGTCGTTGCTGTGCAGTCCTGGAGACACGACTGTCTGGTTGAATCCTATTTATGTTTGGATGGACCTTGAAACTGGTTATAATAGTAAATGCCTAATAAGATTTTTTGTCTTTTGTTGTCAAAAGTGTTCACTGCAGAACTAGAACATATTGAAATTCTAGTTATGGATATGATTCTGGATAACGGAGATTTTATTTTGCTTTTTAAATTTATGTTTAGATCCATACAGCTAAGAAACTTCATTAAAAGTGAAAAATTATCATAAAAAATGTTTTAAAAAAAGTGAAAAATCATCCATTTCAATGGTTAGTTTAGCTTGCTTACTCAGGCTGAAGTAAAGCAGGCATTTGCCTTATGTTAGATTTGATTTAGAGTTGTTTTTTTTTTTGAGTGTTTTTTTTTGAAGAAAATTATTCTTAAAAATATGATTTCTAAAAGGGACTGGAAAATGTGTCTTTAGTTGACAGGGAAGAATACGAAATCTTCTATTTTACATCTTATTTTCTTCTCTTTAATAAGAAAGGATAAAAATAGTCTAGAATAGCACATGTACAGGTGACTTAGACCTTATTTTCTGTCCTTTTAAGTTTGGAATATTGACATTATTGCAGAGAAATATAACCTACTATTATTTACCATATTCACTGTATATATTTTTGCTGTCATATTTGTGAACAAGAAAGCATGTGGAAGCAATTACACAATGGTTTTTAACCAACGTTTGCCCAAACGACTTGCCCAAAAGGTTGATTTCTTTGATGTCTGGGATTCTACTCTGATGGTGTGCATTTGTTTTACATGATCCTGTGACCCTCAAACAGCTCATCAGCCATGGAAGGAGCGAATTCATCACACAGGGTTTAATTTGCCCTTTGCTGAGATATTTAATTTCCGTCGCGGGGACCTTGCTCAGTCACATGGTACCTGACCTGGCAATGGCAGCCTAGCAACCGTGAAGAAGTGCTACCCCAAGCAGGCTCCTGGAGGGTGCAGGGCGCAGGGCGCAGGGAGATGTTAATTATTTACAGTGTGGATTAGCGAAGCCGCAGAGCTGGACCCAGGCCACCGGCTGCTGGAGTCAATGGCCTTTCATCCAACGTGCACACAGATGACACATTTATCTGAAGATTGGAAAATATACTGGCTTAATTATGTAACATTTCTTGGTGGGTAAAAAAGCAGTTTGTACAGCTGAGTGATAATTAAACTTAATCTGAGTAAATCAAGTCTTATTTGAATGAGTAATTTTCAGAGTAGCCATAAGCATTTTAAATTCTGCAAAAAAGAAAGCTACCATACAAATTTTAAATACTATGTCCAACATGTCTGGTCTCATATTAAAATGATCAAAGGCTAATATTAAACTAGGCGTGCGGAGCCACTGCTTAGGTTATATTTGAGAGTGAGAGACATTCTCATTATGATTAATAATAACGAAAATGTTAAAATCAGAGATTATGTAGGACAAAGAGGAAACACTATGTTTTTCTTGTGTGTGAGTGGGTGCACGTGAGACCAAGCAAGAAAAGAAGGCAGCATGTATTAAGCACCAACTATATGCCAAGTATTTTACACCCGTTGTCTTTGCAGGAGGTAGGTGTAATTATTATTATCCTCGTTCTACAGATGATGCAGCCAAGACTTGAGAGACAGTACAGTGTGCTTAGGGTGACGAAGCCGGGGTTAGGACTCAGGTCTGCTGGGATCTCAAGACCCTTTTCTTTCCACTACACCGAACACCAGACCAAAAGAGTTAAGAGCAGAAAAAGAAGACTGGAGTGACCCAAAGCTCAGTGGGGAAGGGCTGGCCAGTAGGGAAGGGGCTGGAGCTGTGGGAACTGGAAGGAGGCACAGCAGTAAACTCCTTTTTCACTCACACGTAGCATTCCTACATCATCCAGCTTGAGTCTCAGCTGTGTTCTCTGCTGGGCTTCAGCAGGTCTGACGTCATTTGCCAGGTGGTGGGTCTGGACCTGAGGAAAAGGCACTTGCTGGAGGTGTGGAAGAGCCTTGGAGAGAACCCATCCCAGGGGGGGAGGAGGCAGCACAGTAAGTTTGCCCAAATTCCAAGCCTCAGAGGCAACGGGAGGGGAGCACGCTGGTCTGAGACTCACCCTTCCTGTCCTCTTTCCTGCCCTCTCTCCTCCATGGGTGCCAGACCTGCAGCGAGGTCTGAAGGCTCTCCGTAGCATCCCCTGCTCAGTCTCGCAGGGGCGTCTCTTTCTTGCACATCTAGCCCTGCCTTGGCGTGTGCTTCTCGCTGGACCTGAACAAACACGGAGTGCTGACCCAGCGCCTTCCCCGTCTCACAGGCCGTTAGGCATCGCTAGCATATTGGGAGAAGGAGCCTTGAGTGCCTGGGGGCTGTGGGCTTGTTTTTAAACATATACTGAAGTGATAATAACTGTTATCATAAGCAAGATGAGCCTCATGTTTAGTTTCTAGAGCAAGAACATTATCATCATATTGTATTTATAAATTAGGTAAAATAGTAGCAGAAAGTATTTCCTGCTTGCTACATACCAGACTACGCTAAGCTCTTTACTTGATACCCTAAGGCAGACGCTAACTCCATATCCATTACCCGCTGCTTCTGTGCTGAGACAACCCTGCCTTTGTTTGAGACAATGCACCAGCCCCAGGTAATGGCTTTTGTCACGTAATCACACACTCCTGTTCTCGTAGCCTCCTCTTCTTTTGGACTAAGAGGTGGCCACACAACTCAGCTCTATCCAGGAGACCAAATCACAGGTTGGCTGGGGTTGGGAGGGGCCGAGGTAGGAAACAGGCTGCTTCTGGAAGACCACGGGGCGCAACGCCTCACCCGCTTCAGGTCTTTGCTCCAATGTCACCTTCCCAGTAAGATCTACGCTGAGCACCCTGTTTAAAATTGTAGAGCCTGGCATATAGTAGGCGCTCAAAACATTTTTTTTTTCCTTTGAGAGAACACATGAAAATAAAATAGGGAAAATTGCTGGAGAGAACGCAGACCAGCAAGCACAAACGGCCTGGCCAGGAACACGCCTGGCACGTTCGGTGCACAGGGCAGATGAGGCCAGGGTGACAGTGGAGAGCCTGACCACACGAGGGCTTGCAGGTCGCAGGAGAGCCTTGGGCCGCTAGTCTGAGTGAGCTGGGAAGCCGAGGAGGAGCTCTGAGCAGAAAAGTGACAGTCTTGGGCCACCTGGCTGCTGTTGGAGAGACTGACAGGAGAAGAGTCAGGAGGCCACTGCAACAGCCCCAGCCGGCGAATGACGGTGGCTGGGGCGGCTGGCAGCAGGCGGAAGGAGAGACGTGATCAGGTCCCGGACGTACGTTGAAGGTGTAGTCAGCAGGCTCTGCTCACAGATTCCGTGTGGATTGTGAGAGAAAGAGGGAGATGAAGGATGACGTCAAGGTTTTTGCCGGAGCAACTAGAAGCAAGGTGATTGAGGGCGCTGCAGGGAGCATGGGTTTTGGAGAGAAATTCAGGCACTCAATTTTGGATGTGTTTAAATACATCCAAGTGGAGACATTAAGTACTCAAATGAATATACAGATCTTGATTTTACGGGAGAAATCCAGGCCAGGGATATACAGGTAGTGTTTAAAGCTGTGAGACTGGATGGATTCACCTAAGACATGAGGGTGGATTTAAAAAAAAAGGAAAGAAAAAGAAAGTTCACGTACAAGGACGAGCCCTGGGACACTCCAGTAATGCGACCCTAACACGTGCTGGGCGCCACCACCTCACATGCCGGTGCTCGTCTGCCCCAACGAAATGTTACGAGGTAAACACTCTCAACTCGATCAAAGGGGGATGTTTCACAGCAGTAAGTCACCTGTCCAAAGGCGCACACGTGGTTAAGTGCTACTATCAACCTCACCTCTGTGTAAATAACCTGGAGTTTTACTTCCTCGAGCAACTTACAAACCTTGGTATCATCCTGTCTTCCCTTCCCCATCCAATCAACCTTCATTTCTATTTTTCACATTAAGCTTCAATACAGGGTGTCCTAATCTCTGACCTTGAACTATTAGCTGTCTTCTGACAGGATTTCCTGCCTTGAGACTCTCCTGCTCTAATCTACTCCTTATCTTCCTGAATATAAAGCTGATCTTCGTGTCACCTTCCTGCTCAGCCCTTCCATTAATTCCCCATTATCTGCAAACTACAATCTAGTTTCCTCAGCTTGGTTTCCCGAGCCTTCCCCACCTCGCTCCAAGCTGCTTCTCCAGTCTCACCCCCTGCTACTCCGCCCCGCCCCCCACCCCAGACTGGTCACTTTCCTGAGATACATCGAGCCCTTTCACAACTCACTTGCACACACCGTCTCCTTTTGGTGCCCACACTGGTTAAGCCTTCTGTACACCACTGACTAGAAGACAGGACAGTGGGCACTGTCTTGTTCCTTGTCTCTGAGGAGAACGTTCAACTTTTCAGCATTAAATAGAACGTTTGTTGTAGGATTGCTTTAGATACCCTGCATCTGATTAAGGAAGTTTCTTTCTTCTTGTAGTTGCAAAGAATTTATCATTTTTATCCTGAGTGGATGTTGAATTTTAGCGAATGCTTTTCTGCGTTTATTTGGTGTCATAAATTCTCTCCTTTAATCAAACATTGATTTATTGTCTACTGTTATATTAGCCTTATATTTCCTGAATAAACCCAACATGATCTTCATATGCTACCATTTTTTTGTACACATACTTCTGGATTCCATTTGCTAATAGTCTGTTTAGCACATGGCCCTACAATCTGTACGGTGGCCCAGTGGGAACACTTTTTGGAGAGGTGACCAAAAGCTACCTGATAATTAGAAGCAAAGTATGATTTCCACTTCTGTCTGGGATTAGGGGCTCTGAATGGGTGGATGTAGGTTGAGGACTGAGGGTGGAGGCGATGTCTGAACTCTGTGTTACTGCAGCAAAACTAAAACTTCATTATCAATAACTTTTAATTCAGTACAAAGTTGAGTTCATATTCAGTCCAAAAACTGAAACGTTTTATTGTTATAATTCAAAAGTTTTAACAGCAGTGAAATAAAAGCTTAATATTCATATGTAAACCTTTTTAATGTTTAGTTTGCTAGTTCATCTTACATAAAAAATAATGAATGAAAGGACAGTCCCACGAAGCCCCCAGAACACCCCTATGGGAAGCTCTTTTATACCATTTCCACGTATGACATCGTCTCTTTCACTTTGATGAGACCAAGATTGACGAGGACGTTCCTTTCCAGTTCCAAATAACTCTCGTATTCCATTTTCAGTTCAGTCTCCATTTGTTCTTTTGACTTCTGATACATTTTCTAGGAGGGGAAGAAGCAAGTCATGTGTATAAAACTCTGACAGCCAGAAATACCAAGGGCTGGAAAGGGGCTATTCCTGCACAGCTGGCCTGGCTGCTGCTCTCTGGAAGCGGGGGCAGGAGGGCAGGAGGGCGTCTCTGCACAGTCAGGGAGAGGGGCTGCTGGCTCTGACCTGACGGGGAGGGGCGGAGACGGCGTGGAGCAGCTGTGCAGACTCCGGGCATCTCCTGGCAGCGGGCTGCCTGAGTCTGCCGATGTGCTGGATGTGGGCTCTCGGGGGCAGGGGGAATGCAGGCTGGCCTGCAAGCTCTTGCCCACGGCTGGAGGGAGGAGCACGCGGAGAGGGGAAGAGAATAACAAGGAGCATTTCTTCAGCTACTTTATCCAACACCACTTGCTGAACAATCTGAGTCATCTGTTCTGCTCTTTGACCTGTCAGTGTCTGTGTGACTACTGCTCTGGTTTAATAATTGTGACATTTTAATTTATTATGGTATTTTCCAGGATGGTCATTATGATTTTCTCTCATTTTTGTGTCTTCTTTCGGAGGAACTTTAGGACCACTTCATCTCGGTGTGTCATCCTGTTTCGCCTTTGTTTCTCCTCCACCCGTCCTCTCCCCATCCTATTGTCTTCCTGTGCCTTCTGATGCCTGGTTACAGAGCCCCATCTTTGTGGATTCCATCAAGGGAATCAGTACTGTATTTTATTCTACTTTCTTTGGAGAATAATTCACAAGAGATACTTTCTTCTTGAATGCTCACAGGAACTGACATTCCCTTCCCCTCCCTCTTCTTCCCTCTCTTTTCATAATATCTCTGCTTTCTCAGATACCTCATGTCTAGTAATTGCCTCTACTTCATAGCACTGTGAGGATTAAATGAATCATTAAACGTAAAAGTCCTCAGAATGGTGCCTGCACCCAGTAAGCATTTAATACATGTTAGCTACACAGTAACCAAGTCACAAAAAGAGCAGGGCTTGATAGGCTGAGAGCAGAAAAATATTTTCTTCTAACCTCTGTCCTTTGCAACATGTGTGACAGATCCCAGAGCATTTCCCATCACTTTTAGGTGTTAGGAATCCTGTCATTTTCAGGTATCTGAAGATTCAGGCCTGTCCAATATCCAAGTGGTGACTGCCCCCTGGGGCCCCCACTGCCAGACTCCTCCCTGCACCTCCAGCCTCTCTGTGCAGAAGTGGCCTCACCACAATTAGAAAGTCCTTTTGGGCATCTGATTTGAGCCCAGCTACTTTCAAGCTTCCACCTGGCTGCAGAAAAACTCACCACCCTCACTCTGCCATCAGTCACTGGTCCTCTTTCCACCCTTCTGACAGAGCAGTTTAAGTCAATCTCTTGTCTGCAGAATTTCCAGCCATAGGAGTCAGGCCCCTGTCCCTGGGTTCCCTAAATTCTCCCTGGACATTCTGTTTTGGGCTCTTGCTAACTCCTGGCCCTTGGATTTCTGTGGCTCAGGAAATCACCTGTACGAGGCCAATTGTCTATTCTGGCCAGCATCCTGTCTCTATCAGTGCTTCCCTTGAAGGCCTCCTTCCGGAGTCGGGGTGGTGTTGCAGAAGTGGGAAATGGGGTACGTGTGGCCCTCCAACACTTCTCTCCCAGAAAAATCCCTCTTCCAGCCTCCTTCCCCATTTACTCTTGTGTAGTCTGGAGTGTGGGTCATTGACTATGGGTTGCAGAATTCTTTTGAATTCCTCCCTCCAAGTCCCATTGAGATGGCATAAATTACGGGTCACATGGAAACCGCTACGCTTCTCAGCTTTGGGTCTCCAGCTGAAATTCCGGTCAGGAGAATTCCCATTGCATGTGCTGTTAGAGCTGTGGCTACTAGTGTTTTACAGTAAGTGAGAGGTATCCAGATTCAGGGTTTGCACAGAGATGGGCACATGGTTCCCCTCAGTCTGTGGAGTGAAGGGTACGGCTACTCCCTGCCAGCCCGGGGCACTCAGGAAGCCCGGCCCCGGGGACGGCTGTGTGATCCCGGCCCTGCGTAATAACACTCATGGCGGACACTTACTAGCACTTTCTGGGTGCCAGCTACGGACTAGCTGTGTACATACTTTTAACTCATTTAATTCCCTCCAAGGTCTTCTGAGATTGTTACAGTTCGTTTCCATTTCCCCTGTTAGCAGCGGTTGCCTGTAAGGAGCTCCTTCTGACTACTACTAGTCACTTGCCCTTGGTGACCCTTATCATGTTCTAAATGTAGCAGAGGAGCCCGTTTCCATGCATTTGTGTATCCACAGCCTTGTACCAGAGAAGGAGTAGCTTTATTTTAAGGAGGGCACTATGTCAAATGGAAATGAAGTTACAAGGAGGGGGCGGCAAAGTTCTGGAAACAAAAGCATCCTACAATTCCAAGATACGGTTATTATAATACTCAGGTGTTTCAAAAGTATTTCACATGCAGATTTTTTTTGGATTATCCACAATTCTACCCACTTCCACTGAGGTGGGTAATTAGGAGCTGTCGCTATGGTATTTAAACACTCAGTAATTGTGGATGTCTGCTGCTGCGGTGTGAAATTCTCCCATGGCAGACCAAGGCCAATTTTTTTTTTTGGTAGTAGGGGAAAACAATGAAAATCAATGGAAAGTTATTTAATTGGTGTTCTTTTATAGCTCATCACCACTAAACAATGTTTTGTTCTTTTTAAAAAATTTTTTTGAGGGGTGAGGAGATAATAGAGTTTACCTATTTATCTACTTATTTTTTTTAAGAGGAGGTCCCAAGGATTGAACCCAGGACCTTGTGCATACTAAGCACGTGCCCTACCACTTTGAGCTATACCTTCCCCCTGCAATGTTTTGAAATGATGCTCCCTCTGCTTTTGTTACACTAATTCGTATCCATCAATGTGATGTTAACCTATTTGGTAATGCAGTACATTGAAATATTTCCACATGCTCGTGCTTTTTATTGAGACCTAGGGTCTTACGTGAGTAATTACGTTGGAGGAGCCTATATATTTGGCTATGAGGAAACTGCAGACAGGACTGGTGATGGAATTGTCGGTGACAAAAGGGCAAGGAAGGGAATGAGCAAGAGTCAGGTAGACATATGGACTGAGAGGACCTCAAGTGGGAAAGAGAGAAGCACTACATTCACAGAATATGGAAAAGCTCCAAATTCCAGGGGGCAAGGGAAGACCAACAGAGCGAGGGAGTTCACATCAAACGGAGAGGCTGAGAGAGGCCGAAGGGGTTTCAAAGCTGTAGGTTCCTCTTCAGGAGAGTTTACGATGGATGTACCATCTATATCGAATTCTCCTCTACAGCAAACTTCACAGCTCCAGTCTATGACAGTAGCATTTATATCTACCTGTCTGTCTGTCTACAGTCTAGCTCCCCTTTAATGCCAGTCTAGTATTTGTCAGTTTACTTAACCGAAAGACTTACAATAATCCTGAAAGGTAGTTATTAGTACTCCCATTTTAAAGACAAGAACCGAAGCTCATCACAGATACAAACCTTGCTCCAGATCTCATGGCTGTAAGTGGCAGAGCTGGGATGTGAGCCCACACGTCTTAATTCATATTCCACTATTTGCACTACCTGCTTTAATGCATTATTCACCAGATGTTAAAATTCTATGAAATGAAAGCACTCACATTTTGAACCTTTGCATCTGTCAATGGTATTCAGAGACCACTGTACCTAAGGAACTTTGAAATACAGAAAAGTTCAGAAACTCAAATTGTATAGAATCTCACTAGGTGTCTAGTTGGTAGTTCTCACTCATGTTAAGCTAGGAAATCAGAGAAATGCCCTCCGGACTCTCATGAGAACAAGAGAAGAATGTAAAAAGGTGTAGTTTTTCTATTGAAGCTGGAATAAGCCAAACAAATATATTCCCACTGGCGTTAGAGGGAAGCAACTTTTGTATCTGAAATTTAACTTACAACTTTTTTCTTCTCCATTTCCAGCTCCATGTCTTTCTTCTCCTGTTCACGAATTTTTTTGCGCTGCTCTACATATTCCAGGTGCTTGACTTCCCTTTCAAAGTAGTAATGTACACTTGATACCTGTTAGAGACACAGGCCCGTGAGAGGGGAGCCCACCCGGAGGCCCCCGTCCTCCCCACAAGGCTCTAGAAGAATTTCTGCCGCTTATGAGTCATTAGCTAGATATGCCTGCAGGCCACTCCCAGAGGGTCTGGCTAATTTGGGGGCCATTGGGCTAAGGTTTAGGGACCTTGGAATTGGAGGACTGCAGGAAGGGAGTAGGGTTGGAAGGAGAGAGCTGCAAAAATTGCACTTTTATAGGAGAAATATTCAGGGGTTGCTTTTTTCCCCTTTCTTTCCTTTTTACTTTTAAGATTGAGGGTAGTTCCACATTGTCAACCAAACTCAGAAAACCCAGATGAGGATGCCAGTGTAAACCCTAAAGGGACCAGAAGCAGAGGCGAGCTCCTGATCCCCTGGGGAGCTTAGTGTCTGAGCAGAAGAGCAGAAGCAGGAGTCAGCAGAGATCTTGGGCAAGGGGACCAAGGGAGGGGGAGCTTTTTGCCTGCCAGTAACTAGGTTGATGTTGTTGGGACTTGCAGCAGATTGCGTTCTATATATTTAATGTTGGTTGTATACATATTTATGTATTTCTATTTATTGATCTTCTTTTTATAACCTAATTATTAACACTGCTTGAAAGCTTTGGGTGGTGTGCGTGGAGGGGCAGGATACTGCCACTCAGACATGCTGTCCGCAGTACACCAAGTTGAGGGGGGACGGGTGGAGGCAGGAGATGGAGAGATGTGTGAAAGTGCCAGTGGGGCCCTCTGGGAGGGTATCACCGAAATAGGGTCCCAGGCTTGGGTTACAACCTGAAAATATCATCTTACGATCACAAATCCCCAACTCAATTCCTCTCTGAATCTGGGCTTCATGTATTTGGCCCTCCTTTCATTGCATGCTTGTTTTATTCTACAATTTATCTCATACGACAGAAATACTTTCTCCTTATTTTTGACTGCATGATTCTTCCTGTTCTCTTATAGAATGAAAATGCTGTCATTTCTGAATATACAACATGCCTCAGCAGTATCTGGTCACATAAACCCTCAAAGCCAAAAGTTACTAACCTCATTGGTGGAAGGGTGACTTAACGTCCAAGGAATTTCCAGTATATGCAGTGTTCCAAAATAATCGGCTACGGCTATAAACTGCTGCTTAGCTGGAAGATTCAAAAAATGGGGGAGAAAAAACAACTCTGCAGTCAGAAAGCCATCGTAGAGGTTAAACACTCCCTGTGTTTCTGTTCTGTGAGTTCCCAGAGGACCTGCTGTGGTTACAATGATTTTGGCATCTTCATCAGACACTCATGACCGGAGACCACACTGCCATGTAAAAGCCATTTATTCCAGTTGGTGAAGGAAGGCTGAGACCCCAAGCCTTTATCAGCCACCCTGCCCACCTCCAATCATGTTTTCTTGGTCTTTATATAAGGAGACCACCCTTGCTGAGGGTGACCCTCTCTAGCTGGACCCACTGGGCAAACTTGAAAAGAAAGCAGGGACAATATATGGATGATTTTCAAAGAAAAACCATGAAGCTAGCTTTCACCAAAAACACAGTAAAGGTTAAAGGATACCATTATCCAGATGAAGTTCAAAGACGCAGCCAGAATCAACTTTCTTGTTATAAAAACAAATTGCTTCCTCTGATCATTTAAAATGGATCTAAAACACAAATGTGTTTGAGAATTCTAATTTTCTATCTCTCAACTTTTTCCTTCTTCTTATTTTCAGAAGGTCTGGCTCAAAATGCAAATCCTAGACTTGTAATCCCTGTATATATACAAAAGCAATGTTTTGTTGCAAGATGGGAAAATATTCTTTGGTGACACATATGGCCAAGTAGTAGATCAAAGTCTGGCTACACTCTAGAGATTCTACAGACTGCGTTTCTAAATGTAATGTTTCTTCTGAGAAAGTAATGAATAGAAAGACAATTTTATGCCTGCACATCTTTGGAAACAAAGGGAAACTTCTTTTAAAAGAGGCAAATAAGTACTGGGTCTGTGTAGAAAGTATTATTTGGGTGAAGCAGAGAAATTGGGACAAAGGATATAAATTACGTTTACCATAGACACATTCTTGAATTTCTGCTTACTCTGTTATCCATTATTTTTTCCTCAAAGTCAGTTCAAAAGTTATAGTTTAAATAGATATGTGAGCCCATGGAGTCACTTGATCTCATGAAGAGAGCTACTTGGTATTGTCCACAGGAGAGCCCCAAAAGTGATAAAATATTGAACATTTATGACATAATGAAAAATTAAAGATGCAGAACTTGTTCTGTTTGGAAAAGAAGCGGTAAAAGGCAGCAAGAATTTATGGTTCACTCTGTGATTCCTGGACCTGGAGAGGGTGAGAAGAATGCTTTTCGTCATATGGTTCAAAATTAGCCTCTGCTTGGCACACTGTGTCTCAGAAATGATTGTTGATGAAGATAATGGTGAGAGACAATCAGGCTGTATCCAAAGTTTGGGTGGAAGAGGGAAGGGAAAAGCAACAGAGAGATGGGAAGGAAAGAGAAAGGAAGGGAAAAGATGGGATGGGAAGAAAAATAAAACTTGAGAAGAAAACCTCAGAGGCTTTCCAGGTGAATGTCACAATGTTCCTGGGCTACCCCTGGAAGGCAAGGTGGCTCAGCTCATTCGATCAGAATTAACACACCAGAAAAGGTCCAGGGTTTGACGCAGGTGATCATAGTTATGCAGATGTTTTGTGACTGGGCTGGTTCGTGGGTTTTCTCCAGAAGGTCCCAGATATCAAGGTATCCATCTTCCCGGCCAATATAGAAGACTCCAGGCCTTGTCAGGGACCAGTGCCCCGAGGTGTACCTTTTTGGTGCACAGCATGACTGAAGGAGGGGTCCAGTCTAAAAATAAATTAAAAAAAAGAAAAGCTTTTGTTATTATCAGAGGGATATTCACAATGATTTTAAGTACAACTCAGATGGCTATGCTCATACAACAGCTAAGTTATGCCCACTCAGAAATCTTTTTCTTGTAGGATTTTTATACAATGCAAGCTCTTTTCTTTCCTGTATGTTTTCATAGCATCTTTTTTTCCCCTTATTTTAGTGACATTTTAGAAAAGATCAAACCTTCCAACTGAGCTGTTGATGGTTCTAATAATCCACCTGCTGCTAAAGTCCACTGCTGTTTCTATGGAGACTGGTGGGCATTAGACAAGAAACGATCGTAAGTTTTGCTTATACCTTTATTTCCCTGTCAGGCGTCTGCTCACCAGGGAAACAGCTCTAGGAAAAGCGAATGAAAAGTCAGTTCTCTCTGTGAGCTGCATCCAATGGCTTATAAATACTATTTGGAAGAGATTTTGGACCACAAAAGCCACATAAGGTCATTTTCTCTCTTCTCTAGTGTGTGGTAACTTGCCTTCTTTGGGAGGTTTTCATAGAGTCAGAAGATCCAAACATGCTCTCTTCCCACCATCATACTCCACCTGGCAACCAGGTGGGCTCATTCACCTACTTACACCTGCAGCGACTAAACTAAGCCATGGCGCTGCCTCCATGTTCCAACACGTGCATATAAAACCTTCCTGTGGGGAACGAAGACAGTCACTAATTCATGCATCCTTTGGGCGACACTCCCAACCTGTTCCTGCTCAGCTCCTTCCGTTTCTGTGGATAACCAGGTTCCTGACCCCTGCACAGTCTTTGGACAATTTTTGCCTAAATTTCCTTTTCAACTGCAGAATTATTACTTGCTTGTTGTGGGAAAAAAATCGATTATACAGCAGTACATTGGTATAAAGTAGATGTCCTTCTGTTGACAGACACAAGGAATCTCCAACTTTTTTGGTGACAAACTTGCACATATATTCACATACATTTTTTTTGGAGTATTTATGTAAGTTAGAGTCCCAGAAATAAAAGGAAATAAAAGTGTTAGGTCAAAGAATATATATGTATTTCCCCCCCAAAGAATATACATATTACGGCTATGAGATATATATACTTTTTTTTTTTCAGATTTTGATCATTTTCTAAGTAGCTCACCAAAGGGACATATCGTGGTGATTTTCCCACACACCTGCTTCCTTGGTTTGGGCAGATGAGCTTCTGTCCTAATCCTGACCACAGACTCTAGGCACTGCCTCCCACTGACCCATGCACGTCCCTGTCTGCCAGGCGACAGACCCCTTAGCTGTCTTACTCCCGCTTTCTGAACCTGCTGACAAGCTTCTGGTGCAGGAGCAAAGGCGACAGACCCATCGCTTGGACGTCACACAGTAATCCACACCCCATCTCGGATTTTAAGGGGAGGGAGAAACGTAAATCAAGTGAACTGCCCATGATATGTATTTCAAAGAAAAGACTGTTTGGTCTCAGAGAACAAAAGACTGGTGATTGTTTCCTTCCCTCAGGAAAGAAAAACAAACGGTTGTGTTTTCGAAAGGTTGCAATGGTTCTGTGGACAAGCTGGAGCCCAGGCCATCTGTTCCAGTTTCTCTACAGTGTGTCTCGGAGGCGCTGTGCTGTCAGAGCAGGCTGGTGTGCCGGCTGCCCTTCTCAAAACAAAGGCCGCCCACCCACTCCTCCATTTTGCCGGCAACTTACCATAACACCTTCTTTCCAGATGGCCACGTTCCATCCCCCAACGGTGAGGATGATGTCGTGGTAAAAAGGTGATCTCTGAACAGTGTGCACAGCCCCGTCGTGGACCGTGTAGAGGCTCACTGGCTTCTTTGCTGTCGGAGTGGAAAAGGCCATTTCATCCTTAATAACACTGTTTACATTCCTGCAACGAAGAATGGGCAGACCTCCAAAGGACGACTGTCCCGATTAACGAGGTCCAAGAGTGGAGAACCAGAGGTCGGTCGGGTGAAAGAATCTGTCAGGGGACAGCTCCTCCTGTTTCTGTGGAAGTCTGGGGACAGTCCCGTCAAGGCCACTTCTCGGGCTCTGAGGGACACCTCGTGTTCGTAGGCATTTACTCACTCATCTGTCAGTTTGTCGCTGTTATATACTGTTAGTCAATAAATACCTGGATCGCCTGTAGGTGCCAGGTGCTGTAGATGGCTGGGTAAACAACGGTTAATAAGCCAGCACGATCTGCCATCATGGAGCTTACAGCCCGGTGGGAAAGACAGGTGCTCAACAAACAAATCCCAAAGTAGAGAATAACAAATGTGAAAGGTGTTATGAAGAAAAACATGTCACAAGAAAGAATAACAAGGGACATTGGTCGTTTAGGTTGAATGGTCAGAAAAGGCTTCTCTGAAGATGAGTCACTTGGGCCGGCAGGGAGGGTTTTGACATGAAGCAGCCCTCCAGACAGAGGGACCAACACACCCCGGTCGCGAGGAGAGGGACTCTGCACTTAGCATTCTGAGGAAGCCAACAGGAGACAAGAAGTGAATGGAAGGGGGAGGGTTTAGCTCAGTGCACGAGGTGCTGGGTTCAATCCCCAGTACCTCCTCCAAACAGAAATTAATAAAAAAACCTAATTACCTCCCTCTCCTAAAAAAAAAAAGAAGAAGAAGAAGAAGAAGAAGAAATGAATGGAGACCAAGAGACTCCAGACCGCGCAGGGCCCCATTAGGAAGAGAGTTTAGATTACATTCCCAGGGTAATTAATGTGCTTTAATGAGTCCTTCCGGCCTAGGAGACAATGTGATTGACATGTGAGGACTCTCCGGCTGCTCTGGGATCAGAGGCAGACAACAGCAAAGAGGGGACACCACAGGAGGCTGCTGCGGTAGTTGTGGTGAGACAGGGTGGCGGCTGGGACGAAGGTGCAATGGAGGAGTGGATAACCAGAAATGTGTGCGAGCTAGAGTTGACAGGACCTGGAGGGGGCTGGAACAGGAGGGGTGAGAGAGATCAAGGGACGAGCAGGACAGCCAGCAGGCCAGTCACCGCAACAGGCTCGAAGTGGTTTCCATTATCACAACCGGGAAGACCAGAGGAGCAGCAGGTTTGGATCTTAAGATCAAGACTTCCCCTCAGTCTCGGCCCCAGGCCCCGGGGTCTGCCTGCCTCGCTGGCCTGTCTCCTCCTCTGCCATTGCTTGGGTTTCCTCTCCCCCAGGCTCGGCTGCAGGGCTGGCTGCTCCCCACTCCTTGCTGCCCACACCCAGCAGCCCTAGGGATGGCCATAAAAATAAGTGCCCGTCAGGGCCAACCACAGTGCAGTGTGTGGCTAGTTTATACTAAAACCATGAACTTACCCTGAATTTCATCATATTAATAGCTACGTGAAGGCTGGATTTTTTTTTCTCAGAACACCAATGGAACATTAAGCAGAAAAAGAGCTACCAAATCTTGCAAAAAGCTCATAAAGTGTCAAAGAGATATTGATCCACTCATGTTCATAGCAGCAATATTCGCAATGGCCCAAAGGTGGAAGCAACCCAAGTGTCCATCAGGGGATGAATGGATAAACAAACTGGTCTATACATACAACGGAATATTATTCATCCTTCAAAAGGAAGGGGATTCTGACACATGCTACAACATGGGTGAACCTTGAGCATATTATTTAAAGGGAAATAAGGCGGTACAAAAGGACAAATACTGTATGAGTTCACTTATATGAGGAACTTACAGTAGTCATGTTCATGGAGCTGGACGTGGAATGGTGGGTGCCGGGGGCTGGAGGGGAAGAGGAGAGGGGGGCAGTGTTTAACGGGTGCAGAGTTTCAGTTTGGCAAGATGAAAAGAGTTCTGGAGATTGGTTGCCCAACACTGTGAATGTACTTAGTTCCACTGAACTATACTTAAAAATGGTTAAGATGTTAAATTTCATGTTTATGTGTATTTTTTCTCAATTTTAAAATTATTTGAAAAAAGCCAATAAGTAAGTAAATAAATTTAAATGT